AATGTAGGTAGAGCAGAATCTTCGTCTGAGTCCGAAGATGAATCCTCTTCAATCTGCTGGCGTCGGACTTTCTCATCCACGATGCTCCGGACACTGTCAAAGGGTGACATCACACGGGGAAGAGCACGTCCCATCTGTTTGAATGACTCTCTAAAAGAATAAATGGAGATGATAGCAAGGAGAGAGTCATTATTAAACTCACTGGTGCTTGACTTGGGGAGTACCCTTCAACGTGACCACTTCTTCTTCCAGCTCTGCAATGCGCCGTTTCAGAAGACCAATGTTCGAATGTGATAGCTGAGAGGATCCTGGTAGGTTGGGGATTTGCGATTCTTGGAGGAGTGATGCCATATTGCTTGAGATGCGACGTTAGCAAATTTAGCCATGACTTAAGTATTTATGTTGAAAGAACTGACTGCCGATTCGGAAGAAGAGCCTACTTCGGGTGCGCATCGGAGAACAAAATGGATCTAGATGGTGAGAGACCTTGTAGGTCCGTGTCGAGCCCAATGGGCCTTCACGATGAGAGAAACTAGAATGGTTTGGAACATGATCAGGGTCTATCACGTGGTGCATCACAGCCACTACGACGCGTTAATCCGGTGATCGCGAGATGCCTGTATCTCGCCTCTCCGACTCGGAGCAGCCTACTTATTAGACCGCCAACTGCATGCCCGTTTCTCAGACAATGCACCCCATCTCACTTCTCATCTTCATTCTCCTCATGTCCGAGCTTCTTCTTCCCTTTTCCTGTGTTCCTGCTGAAGCGGGGTGTGGCCGAAAATTCAGTACATCCAAAGGACTTTCGCTTCACAAGAATCACTGTGAGGCCAGTATTAAATTACGGGCTCAAGTAAAACTGGACAAGCCTCGAAAGCACAAGAAGCGCAGACGTTTGGAGGATCCTGTTGGTTCTGCTAGAAGGGAGGGAGGACTGCTGGTCAATTTGGAGACGGAAAATGCTGAGACTAGTATTCAGGTATGTGCACAGTATATTATTCTTGACTATAATCTAAGCTGTCAAAATGCAGACAATAGACTACCAAGATGTGGATATGCCTGAAGATTTACCATTGTCATTTACACAGACTTTACCTGTACCAGAACGGCCACAACGCATGCATCGACTTCCTCGCAGATTTATTGACCATCTCCCAGAAGCTGCACCTGCAGCAGTTGCTGCCACCTCCGATGAACCGACACCCATTATCCCTCGTGTGCGTCTCATTGTCCACGATGCATTCAAGACCGTGACCAATGCATTCCATATCCTTCGCTTCTTTCCAAATCGACCATCCTACGATCCTGATGCATTCATTTCACCACAAGATCTTGCTAACTTTCCTGACTCCACTGAGTCTGATTCGAGTGCTACGATTCCTGAAGAAATCGGCTCAGTGTTACCACCTCCATACCCTTACTCGAGCATGAGCACATATCGTCTCATGCAGTGGGTTGACTCTGGTAGCAACCTCAAATCTGAAAGCGAGGTTAACCGTCTTGTCAATGACGTTATTCGTGCACCAGATTTCCGTACAGACGATTTTCAGTCTGAATCCCAGTTTGATGTGGGCAGAGAGCATCGCAAACTCGACACTGCGATTAACTCATCGCCCTCACTGAAGGATGGCTGGCGTGAGGCAACTGTGGATATCAAAATACCTACTGGAAATCAGGCTACTGGTGTACGTGTCTTTTCAGTCCCAGGATTTCGGTACCGACCTTTGGTTGAGGTCATAAAGGCCGCATTCACTGATGTGCAAGCATGCCTATTCCATCTTTCTCCATTTCGCCATATATTCGTATCTCCACTCACTGGACATGAGACACGTATATACGATGAACTATACACCTCGGATGCCTGGCTGAATGCCCAACGAGTTCTCCAACGGGCCGCTAACGAACCTGGGTGCAAGCTAGAGAAAGTTATTGCCGCATTGATGTTTTGGTCTGATGCGACTCACCTTACCAGCTTTGGGACGGCAAAGGCATGGCCACTGTACACCTTCTTCGGTAATTTGTCCAAGTATGTCCGTTCAAAGCCAGACTCGGGTGCATGCCACCAAACGGCATTTTTTCCTTCAGTACGCTCGTTACTCTGAGACTTAGTTCTAGCAGCTTACAAATATTTCTTAGCTTCCAGACTCAATATCCGACTTCCTCCGCACACTCAACATCAGTACGAATCAGCAGAAGAACTTGCTGACCCACTGTCGGCGCGAACTCATGCATGAGGCATGGAAGCTCCTTCTGGATGCCGATTTTGTCCATGCCTATATCCACGGCATCGTTCTCAAATGTGCAGATGGAGTTTATCGTCGTGTCTACCCCCGGATATTCACATATTCAGCTGACTACCCTGAAAAGTATGCTTTTATTTCCTCCATGGTTAAGCACTAACAGATAATTGCATATTGTACAGAGTACTCCTTGCTAATATTCGAGATAATGGCACATGTCTGTGTCCTCGCTGTCTTGTTCCCAAGAAGAAAGCCGATCAGATGGGTCTCATATACGATTTGAAGCTACGTGTTCGTCTGGCTAGGACATATCTGTTAGACGAGATAACGAGGGCACGCGATTTCATTTTCAATAAGGGATATACTGTCGGCAGTGCAGCAGTGGAGAGATTATGCCAACCGCAGTCAATTGTTCCGACCATGGTACGTTTACTATCTGGTTACCAATATATCAACTACTAATTCTACTGTCACAGAATGCCTTTGTGGAAAAACTCGGATCGACATTCAATCCCTTTCAGATGCTAGTCGTGGATCAGATGCATGAATTTGAGCTGGGCGTGTTCAAGGCTGTTCTTGTCCACCTTGTCCGTATCCTCTATGCAGCTGGTAAAACTAAGAAGAAGCAGCTAGTAGAGATTTTCGATGAAAGGTATGTGTACATGTACCATTTCTCGACTCCATCCTGTTCTCAGTTGATGCCTTTCCTCAGATTTCGACTTATTCCGACGTTTGGGGTTGATACCATACGAAAATTTGCCAACAATGTGTCTGAAATGAAGAAACTGGGCGCTCGGGATTTTGAGGACATCCTTCAGGTACGTCCGCCTTCCTAACACTATGTCCCAACTAACTGGCTGTAGAATTTAATTCCAGTTGTCGACGGGCTTCTCGATGAACCATACAACTCCTGGATTTTGACATTACTCTTTCGTCTCGCTGAATGGCATGCTCTCGCTAAGCTGCGAATGCACAGTGATGTTACCCTGGAACGACTCAAGAATTGTTCAACCACATTAGGAAAAGAGCTTCGCCGATTCAGGGAGTGGTCAAAGGAGTTCGACACAGTGGAGCTTCCGAGAGAAGTCAACACACGAGTACGAAGGGCCGCAAAAAAGGCTGAAACTGAAGCCTTTCGCCATAACGAAATGCAGCCACATCCAGTCTCTACGTCAAGTCCTCAACCGGGACCACAAAAGCGGCAGCTCAACATCAATACGTACAAGTTCCATGCCATTGCTGATTACGCTTCCACTATTCCTGTTTTTGGTACAACTGATTCGTACTCGACACAGACGGTTCGTGGAAGTCCTCTGTTTGCTAGATAACTGCTGATGATATCCAATAGGGAGAATTAGCGCATCGTACAGTGAAAGGATTGTATGCTCGGACAAACAAGTCTAATGCCACCAAACAAATTGCCAATCACGAGCGACGACGGCGACATTTCAGACGCCAGCTTGGAATACATGGCATGAAGAACATTTATCCGATAAAGGGTTCAAAGAAGGATTCACGCAAGTCTGGTTGTGCAGAGCTCCATCATATCATATCAGAGTCTCGAAGATATCGACATGATATTGTTTCCTTTGTTCACCTAAACGGCCAAGATCCTGCCAAGACCGTGAGTCACAGACTTTTTTTTGATTCGGTGTCTGATATTAGGTCTTACAGAAGTTTATATTCAAGCTGAAAAACCATCTTCTCACCCGCTTACTCGGCCACGATTTTGATGGTGATGATGAAACGTACTCTGATGCGCAACGGGCGTCTGTCCACATCGTCAGCAACCGGATCTATGCTCATAAAACAATGAGGATTAATTACACTTCATACGACATGCGACGCGATCAAGATTCTGTTAACCCTCGAACACACAGCGACGTCATGATGCTTTCTCCCGAGACTGACGCTCATGCTCACCCATTCTGGTATGCTCGAGTTCTTGGGATTTTCCATGCACAAGTATGCCATACAGGATCGGAAGCTCGCAGCCATTCTGTCCAGAACATGGAGTTCTTGTGGGTTCGGTGGTATGGAACTGAGCCGGGCTACAGGTGGGGATTTAAGAGCGCACGCCTTCCAAAAATTGGATTTGTACCTGAAGACGATGAAGGGGCATTTGGCTTTGTTGATCCCTCTCTGGTTCTCCGTGCATGTCATTTGACTCCCGTATTTTCGGCTGGTCGTACTCGGACACTTCTTGACTTTTCCCCATCGGCCGCGCGACATCCAGGAGAAGACAAAGATTGGGTGAATTACTATGTCATGATGTGAGTTGTATGGCCTTTATCCGATTCCTAGCTGACTTGTGGGTTGTCTTGCGGCAAGCTTTGTTGATAGAGACATGTATATGCGCTATGCCGGTGGAGGCATTGGACATGATGCAGACCCGAATCTCAAAGACAATGATAACGTGACAGGCGCAGATGATGAAGCCGCCATAGGCGAAGATACGCTGGAGGAAAGTGAAGAAGACGATGGCGAGGAAGACGAAGGCGAAGAAGACGATGGCGAGGATCAGAGCTCCGAGGACAGCGAGGATGAGAGGCCTTCCGAAGAAGGCACCGATTCTGATGGATCCGTAGAATCGAGCTACCTTGATGTCGAAGATACTGGGTTTTCTGACTTGTAGTACATTTACATGTCAATGCAATCACTAGTACCACTTTACAACCAGTTTGTGTAAGCCAGACCGTATTTTATTGAGCTTATGGTAGCAATGTACGGGATAAAAATAATCCTATGCAATCTTGAAGGCTAACATATCATTATGGGGGTTTCTAATAGCATACAAAGAGGTCGCAACATCGTGCCTCGGTTATATGGGCTTGTAAGGCCTTGACAAGGCGGATAAGAATTATGCCGGATCGTGGTCGCCGCAATCCACGGCAACTTTTTTCCCGATCTGCTGATGGTACCACTGACAATTATCAGCAATAAAGGGGGCAAAAATAGCCATGATTTTGGTAAACGACACTCTTTGATGGTCGCCCTTGCAAACAAAACCATGTTCGCATACTCAAACCACGGAGGGAACGCGCCGGCCATGCCCCAGTCGACCAACAAACGTCGCCCCTCTTGTCCACGATAATATTACGCATATTGAGATTGAGATCCATATGACATAGGACAAGAGGGTAGGAAGCGTCGAAGGTGGAATATAGATGACTGGAGCCACGGCGCCACCTTCTTCCACCACAGCGAGGTAACCTTCAGCCCTTTCCACCTAGGCTTCGCCTATACTTCATACACTCACAATTCTCGCAAACGTAGTCACAATCATTCCTATTTATTTATACATTCTAATCCAAAAATGCTAGTATCAAAGTAAGTAGAACGACGGAGAATACCCGGTCTTCAGAATCATCTCCACCCCAGGCTTGAGGCTTGCAAACAGGTCTTTGGTGGTCTTCTTTGGAGCCCATCCTATGGCCTTAGACCTATTTACCACACAACGAGAGTTGGATCCTAGGAAGTCAAGCTAGACCATGATAACATGAGAATTGAAGTACCACGAAGGTTGATATGGTATGAACTCACACTGCCGAAATACTTGGCCATTTCCTCTTTCGTGAACGAGGTAGGCTCTTTCTCTGTTGCTTTACCCAACTCAACCAGAACGGCACCTAGATGCAGGGACAAGTCGTACAGAAGATGCTCTCCGCTTGCACCGAAGTAGAATCCTTCGCGGCTGTGACCAAGAGCCGGGTTTTTTCCATCGACGATAGCGTCATAGAGCTTGAGGTAAAGATCAGCCTCTGTGAAAAACGCATTAGAGCGCGACTGGGACGGTAGAAATCAGAACTAAAACCTACGGTCATGAATTTCGACATTAGGCCACGAGTTCTTCCCTTCTCCAGCCATCCCAGCATGTCCGCGATCAAGAGACGCACTAATGAGAGACGGTACTTGGATGGATTGACGGTTATGAATCTCTGCATCGACGAGCCTTCCCGAAGACAAGCCATAAACAGTAGACGGGAGAATGATACAAGTTTTCACATAGCCTTCAAATGCATGTGCGTCAGTATGTGCTTGCCAGTACATGAGTATTAATACCAACCTTCCTTGTCCGCGTTAACGATAGCAAGGTCCACTGGTCTGTGTATCTGAGTGATCGGGAGTGTCTCAATCTGATCAGGGTTTAGATCATCGTAGATAGTTTCTGTAGCTTTCAGGCCTCCCGAATTATCCGAGAGTACACCCGTTCCCGACTGGTTTGGTTTCCTCTCATTAACTTCAATGCACTCTGGATAAAATGTCATAGGACTTACTGTGTTGATAAATACCGGTACTTTTCCAGTCTGTTCGAACCGTCTTTTGATCCCTCGGAGCGTGGCCTCCGCCCCACGAAGGTCGTCACAATTCGCCATCGCCACAACAACGTCTGCATTCGCTGCACTATCCTCGAGCAGCTGCAAGTCCGAAAGCGATCCTAGGATGGGCTCGACGCCGAATTTCTTCAGCTTTTCGGCCTTCTCTGAGGACCTAACAAGAGCAGTGATATGGAAAGAGGATGCGTTTTGTTATGGATATTGGGTATCCACTGATTCGGTGCATGAGTCAACACATGCCCGTACTCGGCCTTCTCGGCCCTAGTAGTGACTCGCTCGTACTTTCTCTTATTTTCTCTTACCTTCTCTATTCTTCGTACTGATACTAGAATATTATAGAACATTATAGAATAATAATGACTCGAACCTGTCCTTAGTATATAAACTTGTAGATAACATTGTATTAGAAAAGCTTTTACCAATCTACCACTTTCAGGACACCTTCACTGTGAACCCTCAGCTACGCCTAGCGCTTGCTGAACAACTCGTTGGATATGCCTAGCGCTTTCTGACACCAACCCGAAGGTTACGCTTAGCGCTTGCCTTCACCCACGGCCCGTAATAGCTTCGCGCTTACAGGCTTTCTATATTGGTAATTGCTCCGCGCTTACCGGCTATTTCCCTCAGTAATTGCTTCGCGCTTACTGATTTCCTTTATTTCGCAAACCGGACCTCTCAGGTCTCCTCACGAACCCTCGCCGGAATCCATTATATTCCCTAACGACGTACATCATTTCTAATTAATCATACCTCGCTTCGATCATCACTCCTCGCCTCGTGCTCGCATCTCCGGATTTCGGCAGATCCATAACACGTTTGGATGACTTAGGAATCGTTCAAGAACGGTGCCTCCGATGTAACCTTTAAAGCACAGATGAGATTACTTCTGGGTTGCTTAGAGAGTTTGATGCTACATACCGGTGACTCCAGCCATAAAGAAAGTAGTTTTGGTGGTCATCGTTGGAAGATTGACAGTGGCTGGAAGTCAGTATGATGCTCTACGCTCGACTGCTGCCGGTTTTATATCTTTCCTTCGTTGATTATTCATCGAGCTTACGAATCAAGCCTTCCGGTCAGCGAGATGTGCACCAAGTGAAGCTGTAGAACTGTAACGAGAGATCTGAATAGTAATATAAGAACAAGAAATCCTTGATTTCTTGGGTTTTGGGGGGGGGAGGAGAACTCGGCTTTGAGAACTGTGAGTTGAGCAGAAGGGAGACCGGCAATAAAACCAGTCCCGAGATGAATACGGGGATGAAGAGATGCCGGAAGCTCAAACTCGGTTGTCCGGGGAAACCTGAAATCAGCTGAAAAGACGTAGCTGCAGCGTCAGGCCAGGCGCTACCCAAACAAAGAAGGGAGTAGGTGGGTGGGTCAAAAGAGAACGGAGAAGTGACGAAGCGACCAAGATGAAGAGAGCGAAGAGAGAACGAAGCGAAAATACTCTTGCACCGAATAGCGCAAGACGATCGCGTTGTTTGGCTACCTCTGTTGAGCCAAACATCTGGGGAAATGCGACGAAACGCTGGGGGAAAAGATCTCTCTGTTCACTACGCTTTACTTGGCTAAACACAGAGTTTGAGCCGTTCGCTCCTCACGTCAAACTTGTGTGGCAAATATTCGAGGAGAAGTGTGGTTAGTGAGGCCTTGATGTTCCATGGAACGATACTGGAGCATATTTGCACTTGGGGTTAAGCTAAGCCGAGGTTTTTCGGTGTTCTCCATTTGTTCTCCAGGACAGACTTGGGAGTGTGACTTGATATGACATCCGAAACTGGCGTGATCAAACCCTCGCTTGCCGGGACTGACTTTTGTGAAGGACAGGGTGCAATCAACGGCTCCAGAACGACTCGGGGAAGTAACGACGATGACTGCAGAATAGTAGATGCCGTCTTGCTAGGGGAAATCGCAAAGGGCGGGGGAAACGATGTGACGGAGGTCACAGATACCTCATTGATTTCACGAGGCAGCTCTGGTGTCGCTGAAGGCTCACGAGAAGGTGCTAATACGAGAGAGTGGCCAAGGATAGGGCTAGATGGTGTAGATGCATCCTGGTTACTGGTGTGTTCGTATACGCCCATTCCTCGTGTCATGTCTGATGATTCAAACCCCAGGTTCCAATCCAGAGGGTCGCTATCTGATTGCGGACCATAGCCATCTTCATCTGCACTGTCGTCAGTTGTGCCATCGTCCTCCGATGATGCACTCTTTTCATGTTCTGATTCACTCGACATCCCATGGGTCTCGTCACCGCTCTCGTTGTCGATCAGCGTGTCGCTGTTATTCGTCGTTACGGTAGTACTACCACTCGAAACCAAATCAGTAGTCCTTTGCAATATAATCAATGTTATGGCTCATCTTATTACTGAAACCGCGAGCTTACCTTCGAACAATAGACGTCGTATGGGCCTCGGAAATGACAAGTGCACCAAGGTCTACTTTTTTCTTTTTATTCGGTCCTCTGGTCTTCGGGACTGCCCTACGCTTCTTCCATACCTTTTCCGTCGCTTATATTTCTCCATTGGTGATTTCCCACAGGCTGGTGAACCAAATTACTTGATCGCCTGCTTCCTCGTTGGGATGCACGTAGGGCTGGACAAGAAGATGGACTGGCATTATCCCAAGACATGAAGGTCAAGAATCTGGAAGAAAGGAAATCAGGAGGGAGAATCATCTTTGATCCTACGATGGACGACTCACCCTCCCTAGTTGATGGTTTTCGTGCCTTCACGAAAGGGACAACACAGAGCCGTTCAGAGTACCGTCCATTCATGAGAACATTGGCCCACTCGTTGAAGACAACACCAAACACTGCGCGCGCAGCTTGTTCGTCAGAGAAGCCAATAATAGAGAAGAGATGTGCAGTGTGAACGGAAAGCGCAAAGAATGAAAACGGGATGGCAAAACATCTAGAATCCGTCAAGGGAATGTTAGCCAATCCAGTCAGACTTGCTGGAACCAGTTTGGGTATATAGAGAGTATCATTACTAGGTGATTTAGGAAACGCTGCGGTGGACGTGGTGGACCGTGACTGAGATCTGAGAAATGAGCCGGACCGAACCCGGCGAGTAAGTTTAAACTCTCTTTTCGTCTCCCATCACCGAGGACTCTGCTTCGACTCGGCAGGCGCGCCCGTGAAGCCTCTCAAAATCGTTAACATTCTGGCATGTTTCTAGAGAAATTTTGCTAGACACTAAGATGCGCGCGCTTACAGAAGCCGTTTCCTTCGTCAACAATTACCGGGTGCGGAGATTTCTCACTTTGTGCCTCCTGGAATAGCGGCTTCCCAGCTTGAACGGTACTCAGACGACATGTCAATGCGGCAGTGCTGTGCTAGGAGGAATGGAGGTACAGTCGACGTTGTGTCTGGCTGACGGATGGAAGGGACCTTTCTCCCATCATCCCGTGGGCAATTCTTAGCACCATTCCCTTGTACCCAAGTCTATTCTCAACTCTGCACCCCCAACGATGGCGGCCTCTCAACTTCAAGGACTCTAGAACTTGGTTCGCATAGACGACGCGTCAGCGTGTCAATTTTGAGCAGAAGATGGCCTGGAAGGAGGTGCGCACGGAATTTGGCTTTTATGGGCGAAGAGAGGGATAGGAGGGGAGGTCAGTGAAGAGAGTTGACCATGCTAAGAGTTTCCGGCGTTCTGTGCATGGTTCAGCTGGAGAACGTTCTTAGTTGTACGAGTCCTGGGTATGTTCACTATTCGTATCTCGCTGAAATCTTATTGACATGACTAGTGCCCCAGGTAGTCTGCTCATCTTCATCTAAGAAAAAGCTGTCGAGAAGCTCAACGTCGCCGTCGGATCCCAACGACTCCAGGGAGAAACCGTTGGTTGGCAGTCTCTGATGTGTCCTCGTTTGTTGAGGGAGCCTACGAGAGATATCATTGCATGTCTCTTCTTCATCCCTTGCCTCCTTCGTTCCCTTGATCCACACCACCGAAACTTTCGAAGACGACTTCGCTATCAAACATCACTCTGTTCATCGTTCTCACAGCCCGGCTTTTCCAAATACGAGACGTAGTTTCCAACGCAATAGATACGACTCGTACAAGGGCTATTGCATTTCTCCGAATGAGATACACACCAGCTGCTCGCCAAGTATTTTGTCCGCTCTCAGGATATCCGTCTGGCGCTAGGCAGTTATCGCAACAGCTGCTGGATACTTCATTCGCTTCAGGATCCTATCCATCGCCGATATTCAGCATATGACCATTCAACCTAACGCAACAAAGAGGATATCAATTACATTGTGATAAGCGCAATATCTCAATCAACTACCAGTACGTATCTATACCTCGTTCATATCGACTGAAAACTGATTCTTGTTCCTTTCCTAGCGGCTCGTCGAAGCTGCATCCTTACTCATGTGTACGCAGGTGTTTTCACATCCTTAGTAAACTGGGAGTCAAGCACCTCGAGATCGTCAAAGTCCACGATATAGAACCTTGGGCTGTCGACTACCTCCATCTGTATGGCTTAGTGTTCTGTTTTCGCTGGCGAAAGGACACACATCGGCCTACCGATTTTAAGGACCCATGTCTAGCTCGCGAAACAGTTCAGCGATGATGCCCGCGCATCCCAGGCCAGTCTACTCAACTGCTCAAAAGTCGATATCGGAAGGGAGCTTCGGAGCGAGTTCAAAGAATACACGAGGGAGATGTCTCCCAGGGTGAGTCCGAGTCTATGCGCATCTACCTCTCGTCACTCATTTAGCTGCTAGGGCTCGTGATATCGAATTCTCCTATGATCTGAAACGCTCATAATTCTCTCGCTCGGTACGTTCCTCGTTGCTTACAAGTAGTTAAACATTTGATGATAACAATCCAGCCGACATCTCAAGAAAGGGGTCCGACTGTATTTTACTACACAATGACTAAATATCAAAAACAATAAGAACAACTTGAAGAGTTATTGCGGTCAACAATCCTAAGGAAGTTGTCAGCAGATACATCCAAGTCAGTAGAAGAGGGCATCATCACCTTATTGAAGATCCTCAATGGGGCACGGACAAAGTCATCATGTATAGGAAGGGCGAAGTGAACATCTTTCTCCAGTCCTACAACACGACATACCGTACCCTCAGGTATCATGAAGACTTCGCTGAAGATTTTAACTTTCAGGCCGAGGGCCCGTTCAATCGAGATCAATTCCTCTGCTGTCCCACCTCCATCTGGACGCCGTACTCCATAAACATGGATGCCACGGGGTGTTGGAACCGGTCGACCAGAGTCGGGGTTGATAAAGGCGAAATGGTATTGACGCATGTCTGCCAGATCTCCGCGCCATATGCCAATTTTGACTTTGTCGTTGATATCAACGACGTACATGACCTCGTTAGGAGTAGGATAGCGCTAAATGTCAGTGGAGAGATCAGTCAGAGCAATCATAAGAAAAAGAGCGTACGCACGCCGATCTGCTTCTCCGTTCCTGAAACACTGGCGCGGAACGCCTCAAGGCGGAGTCGGGCAGCCTCGACAGAACCGTACTGAGATACATAGAAATCGAGGATTTCCTGGTGGGTGCGGCCGGGATAGGTGCGATACACCCAGTCCACCCAGTCCTCCGACTTGGAGTCAGCGGTCGTAGAAGACGATGTAGTAGGTTTCATAGCCATGGTACCGGTGGTGGTTCGGAAAGAGCGTTGCACCTGTTTGTGCATTGCCTTGGGTAGCCGGTTAGCCGGAGGTCACCGGTCAATGATCTTCAGCCGGGAAATTGATTATGCCAGCCTGTAAGTATCAGCTGATGACAGAGCTTTTTCACACGGATTTTTTCTCCTCTCCTTGTAACTGTTACCTCCGAGTTGCGAGTCGAAATGAGAAGATACCAGATGGTGATGTGGCCTCCTACTATCCATGCCCACTGAGTGGACGGGCCGTTGTGAGCCATGGGTGGACATCGGAGAGTCGATAAGGAGAGATGCGTTGGTATGAAGACCGATGGACTGTACAGTTAACAGGAGGCTGATCATGCATGGCGCGTGTGTGATATTGGCATGAGCAAGAACTCAAGAACTAGACGACGGTATTGACTGGGGTGCGAAGGACGGAGGGCGCGTGGAAGAAGGATAGAGCGACGGCTTTGGTGAACGACTCAAGCTTCTTGGAAGCTTGGAGACCTTCTTTGACCGTTATGAACTGCACATAAAATCATCATCTGCATCAGTACAAGTTCAGCGGGATAAGGATGATAGACTCACCTAAAATTTGGAGAGCTTTGACGGAGCACGAAAATATTCAAAGACACCCCGAAAACAAGCCCTTGCAGGAGCTCAACCTCGCTAGACAATACGCCTCGGACAACGAACAGTCATGAACACGTCCCTCTCTTCCCACCCAAGACCAGTCCTCCGCCTATACGATGCCGAATTCTCGGCCTCCCTTCCTCCCTCCACACTTACTATCGCGTTCGTCTCGCCGTCGTGTGAGTTCCGGATGTGATCTGATAGATCCGAGTACGGGCATTGAAGGCGGCTTGTTGCATCGCACAGCAGGAATGTCAGATGTAGTGGTTGGGCCAACACTTCCCATCAGGAGACAGAAGTCAAAACATCTGGCGGGGAGGTCTCAGACTGGCGAGCATAGCTTCAGAGTCTTGTTGAGACCAGGTGAATCATAACGTTTTTGGTTGGAGGCGATCTGTTGGAGGGAGCACCGATAAAAGCTTACAGAATAAGAAACCTGTGGTAGAGCGTCGGTCTGATAGATTGTGGTTTGTGTTCGGTCTCGCTGTACAGCGAGAGGACGGCGAACTTGACGGGTGGTGGGTAGGCATGTCGTTGGGAGAAAGGATATGGCCCTTTTCTCGTTATCCATATCGTCATACGACTTGTCGCATGTCACCGTTGGCCCGGCACGCTAAATCTCATGTTTGGGAGAATTAAACCGGTCCAAGGTGTGCTGCGGTGAAGCAGGGAGGAAGGTGAACGTGAATATTATTTGATGGCAGGATCGTCTTGGAAAGTATATTTCGGCGGTGCAGATCAAGAGAACGGAGGAAGCAAGGGATGAAAAAGAGATGCGTAAAGATATCTCTCGTAGTGTCGGTGATGGGTCCATCAATAGACTGGGGAACGTGCCAAAGGAGACCGCCAGCCAACGAGACACGCTCGCTGCCGTACTCGTTGCGTAAAACTTAGGGATTTGAAAAACTCGGTGATGTAGATCAAGGAGACGGAGAAGGCGAGGGATGAAGAAGAAACGCGAAAAGATATCTCTTGTCGTGCTGGTGACGCCCACATCCAGCGACGCATCAATGGAGACCGCCAATGAACGGGTTTTCCTTGAAGCTGTTGGAATCCGGCTTCTCAATGGCCTTTTCCTCGATGACATGAGCAGGCTGCCTCGAGGAACTGTACGACTACTAGATGCAATGTCAATAATATTCCAGCGAGATGAGAATGGTGGACGTACTAGGAATCGGATTCGTACAGCGAAAGACATTCTCCCAGCTGAGCTAACACACAGCCCTCACGACACCGACCAGCCCTCTTCACTGACCTCCCTTCTCTACAGCCTGCCTACAGGATGCCAAATTCTGTCAACCTTCTACTCAAAATTGACTCGCTGACGCGTCGTCTATGCGAACCGAGCCCTAGCATCGTTCAAGTTGAGAGACTGCCACCGTTGGAGGTGCAGATCAAGGATTCCCGCGCTAAGGAATCGAACAAAACCTTGACGGGCGATGAGCGGTTGTTTGCGTGCGCATCTTCGATCGAGCAAAGACAAGGAGATAAGGAATGCTGGTGGTCGATCGAGGTATTGTGTACCCAAGTCGATGCGTATCCTCGGATGATGGTGGTGGACGAAAAGGAGTTCTGATCCCGCTCCCGACTCCGATCGGTGGGAATTTAGTCCTCCGAGTTGATTGGCCCTTCCCTCCCATGGCTCTCATTCCGAGAAGGCGACATTATTGTACTGATAACTTGAATCTCTCGTATCCACGTAGGCTGGCGGTCAAAGATTCCGTGTATTAAATAAATGTACTATCAAGTGTTAAAATGTCCCGGCGACAGCGTCAGTTCAAGCCTCTCAGATCGTGATAATGCACGCAAAGATGTCCGTAGAAGGCCGGATTGATACGTATCCAGCATCGAATGATGGCCAATGCAAAGGTGTTCGATATAGTGCCAGTAAAACGACAGCCTCAGGTCGTCGTAAAGACCTACCTTCGCACAGCGCGCGCCACCTCCCTATTTGCATGCATCGATGTACTAAACTCTCCTGCCCTTGCAGTTGGCGCGGTTGACCGTTACCAGTCCGGTCACACGCGTATAAGCGAGAGAACGTGCACAGCGGCAGCGGCAGTGGTATCGATGCCAATCTCTACGAGGACTGGGACCGAGACGCTAAGGGAGCGAAGACTATCGTGAGGTCGAGAGATCTGCCTGGTAAAAAGTCAGTAAGTCATTGGGAGGGAATCGATGATACTAACATGGAGCGTATATGGGTAAGCTATGGTTGTCGGGCTCATTCCCTACTAACGGAGTATTATTTGAGGATGAGATCGTCTTGGAAAGTATATCGAGTCGAAGAAGGGATGCATAAAGATAACTCTCGTGCTGGTGACGGGTCCTAGTCTGTATCAACAAAGACGAGGCTTCAAGCTTCAAAGGAGGCTGTCAATGAACGACTGTTCCTTAGAGTCGTTGGAATACGGTGACGACGAGTATCCTCCCCCGCTTTCGCCCTCGTTTTCTACGGCATCGTCTTCCTTCGCACCCTCGGAGCGCCTACCAACGATACCCGAAAATGGCAGGCTAAATTTACGAAAGCCTGTTCTAGAGCGTCCTACGGGACTGGGTGCGAGGCTCCTTTACGGTACTCACACACTCTCATGACGCTCCCTGTCCGCGTTGCAGTCGCCGTGGTCAATCGGACTGTACAAAAAGGTGTACTATTCGCTTGCTGTCCTGTATGTTATTTATTCTGCAACCCTTACCGTTCATACTGCATGTGTCATTTGTATCATTCTCTTCTGTCATTCTTAGTATTATTTCCACATATCTGGTCTTTGATTTCTTCGCTACAGACTATTTGGGTTGCCCATGCCCTCTACCCGCCTCTGTTCTTAGAAGTTAATAAAAAAAGATAACCGGTCGAGAAAGACGTCGACGTACCATGCATGGTCACCTGCAGCACGAAATTTCTTACTCTTGGGAAGAGGCGTAGGCGAAGAAGGGGTATCGGCCGACACGGGTACAGAAACAAAACCTTGGTCGTAGCTGCCGGCACCAACGTGCGTCTCGGGCCGCTCCGGGCTATCCCACACGGGACCAGTGTCTGTGGTCTCAAGCACATCACACTCTGTCAAGGCCTTTCGAATCAAATCCAGCTCTCCTTCCCGTCGAGAACGCTCCGCCTCATAGAAAGCAGTGACTCCGGTGATCTCCTCGTAGTTGTCCGGAAGCCGCTGAAGAGCTTCCTCGATGGCGCGTTGAAAAGGAAGGATCGGAAACCTGTACTCAAAGCCATCTCTGAAGTGGTATGCCAGATTCAAGATGCGCCACCATTCTAGGACGACCGGCTTCAGCGGTGCAAAATATGGATCAAAGTAGTCGAGTATATGTTCTTGGAGATGTTCTGGACCGGGATTGTCGAATAGCTTCCTCTTATTATACAGGATGTCGCTCTCGGGGGCATCAAAGAAGAAATAAACGAGGGCACGGATTTTTCTCGTTTCGTAGGTGTCGTTGTCATCAGCCTCGGACAGGGACTTGAGCGTATGTCGCAATGGTCCACCAGGACCTGCACGTGTGAGGCATATATATATCACCACCCAAAAAAAGGATTCCATGTCGTGGATGGCGACATGAACAACATTCACCGCCTTGTCAAGAATCTTGTGACTGATATACGGTAAGGTGCCCTGTTTATACATTTCCATAATTAGTCAATGAACATGAAGGGGAATAACAGTGACAAGTATTTACAGTACGTTCACCGTGTTGAGCGACATGACTGGCAAAAGAAGGAGGCATCTTTGTCTGCGGGACTATGTTAAGAGTGGTTATGTAAGGAAACGTGCGGCGACTGACCTCAGGCGTTATGAAGATATGAACATCCTTGGATGCGATTGTCTGTACACGAGGTCATCGGAAATCTGAAAAACGATTGTCGAAAAACTCACAATGTGTGTATTACTCTTTTTGATTTCTATTGAAAGAGACTTGAGAAGAGCCTTATAGTAAGTTACCAACTCCGTGTCATCTATGCTTGCAGGAAGTGAGGCGAACAAGTCCGACAGACCGTCTGACATCAGCGGATACTGGCCTAGTGCAATGTACGTTAGAAGATTGGGGCGGTTTAGTAGCTTCTCTTGAAGTGGAGCTGGATCATGGTAATCCACATCGTGTTTGGAATGATCCATGTCGCTGATTCGCCCGCTCGTATCAAACAACTTCAACAGACCCGTTTTTTGCGTCCTTGGCCGGGCATATCAACATGTTACCGGGGCTGATGTCGCGACGAGCAATACCCTTGTCCTACAAATGCCCATAACCTGACGACAATCATTAGTTGTCAACAAAAAACAAAGAGAGTTGAGAAGAATCTTACCAAGAAAAGTTCCATGCACCGTCGTCAAAAACTCTTTCATGGTTAGGAAATACTTCAGCGGCCATCCATAGTCTTTGAGAACCAATCGCGTCAATACACGCTCCACTACCGTCTCTGCGGTGACAGGAAAGTCTGAAAAATCACGCAAACCACTGATGACATTGACATGCAACACCTCATCCGGTGTCGCTTTTCGTTTCGCTGTTTCACTTGCTTGGCTAGTAGACCTCTGATGAAAAGGATAGGTATGCACATCCTTTCGAAGGTCGGAAAATGTCCTAGTTCCCGGAACCTCGTGATTCAAGTAGACGCGGCTAATATGGTCACCGGGCCCAGCAATCCCATAGAAATCATTTTCAGATGTTGATGTCAACGGTCTCCAACTTTGCTTCAGAACGACAACCTAAGGGACGGGTAAGGATATTTGTACGTTGCGCACATAATGTTTTCTCTTACCTCTTTTTTCGCTAAATCCATTGCAAGCCAGACAAGAGTTCCACGCCCGCACATTATTTCTGACCGAGCGACGCTGAGCGCACGGATAGTGACGAGAAAATGTGGTTTAGCGTCCGCATCACACACTGTAATGAGCCATCGAACGAGATGCAGTGAGGGTAGTGTTTCAAAGTAATTCAAAGGTATTTCTGGGGAATGGGAGTATACAGCCTTCTCTGAGAGACCCCTGTATAACTTCATCGTCCTGTCCCAACCCAATTGGAAAGGATCCGCGGTGGAGAAATGCGCTATCACTCGGATAAACCTGTCTGGCTCCTGAAACAAACGTGAGAATGTGTATCTTCGGGTAGGTACTATTGAGGCTCATACATTGTGGATGTCGATGTTACTATCAGCTCCCACCAAGCCCGAGCGGTCGCGGTACCATAGAGACAGACTCGAGTGGAAGAGAATCATCCCAAATACATATTGGCGATCGTACTGCTCCCTTAGGATCTGTCGCATATATCCACAGAGCTGTGTGATTGTTTTCTGTGCTTCTTCGAGCTTGACCACCGTCTTCGGCTTGATCTCGACAGGCACAATGGTACGGACCCACGATACCTGAACCTTCTTCAGCTAAAGGCGACATGCGTTTAGCAAAATTCGTGACGGTCTCCAACGTTCTTACCGTCATTTGGTCTATCTATGCAATGGATTTGACAATAAGTGCGTGGAAGAGCTCATGAAATGACGATTACTTACCGTATCGGGGTATTGTTCTTTATAAAGACAGTCAGTTTCGTCTACCTTCGCACGATGCTTGAACATATCACAAACTTCGGCTTTAAGGATGGCCTCACTCAGCATTTCCCAGTCATCCTTGTTTCCTAAAACATTCACGACATCAGGGCGATTAGCAGCCGCGTGTGTGAACGACTTGGGTTTCGATGAATGCCGGTCTAGCCAAAAACGCTTTGGAGCTTCGTTCTGGCCACACGCCGCCTGGCCAATAGCGTTCGCTGCGTCAGCAAATGCGATATAATAGGGCAGTTCAGCACCCCGAGGTTGGGCAAGGAGAGATTTCCATCGATCAGCAGACGCATCGTATGCTCCTATGCTTTTCAGAGTATTGAAAAGAGCGGAGGAATTATCGCATTTGGGAAAGAAAGTATCGAGGAAGTCGTTCAAGCGGGTGGCTCTGGTACTGAACCTGAGGTCAGCTTCCACGCCCTTGAGGACGTGTTCAGTTAATGTGGAGACACCAGCACCATCGAGCGTCACGGAGCTCTTAATCAACGCGTCAGAACGATATCGGCTAGAACTCGAAGGCCCTTGTAACTGATAGTCAACACCACTGGCTGGCATGATGTGCTCTTGGACAGACTGACATAAATGAAGAGGTTTATGTATACACGCGTCTTATGATTATCATCGCCCCGGGTCAAGAATTCGCTCGAAAATGGCAAGTTTCTTTTAGCCTGTAGTAAGAAACCGTGATGGTGGATGTGTAGGGATGTGTTACCAAACGGGGCCACATCCAAGAGTCGGTTCGTCCGGTCCGATTAACCTGAACTCACGGGCAGCGAGTGCCACTAGCAACGGGGAGGAGCGGCGGTGACCAATCCGGCAAAGGGTGTTGGAAATAGGCGCAGCGGTTGGAAGGAACGTGATAGCGCAGCTCGAACGAGGTATATTTCATAGTAAAGTACGCAGGAGGTGGTGGTGCGAAGCCAAGTTAAGGTAATGATCAGTAAAAAATAAAGTAAAATATAAGCACGGGAGGGGTCCCGACTTTAAATGCAAAACCGACAAGGTCATCGAATGGAGGGAAAGAGCGCACTCATGATCAGATTAGATTTAGATTTCGCACCATTTTCCCACAATTTATCGGGTCGTATTCTAACTCAGCTTGAACAAGTGGATACATCCCGTTCCTTCGCCCAAAGGGAAAGAGGCGGGACCCCGCAACTGCCGCTACTATCGGTACTACGAGTATGCTTTACACCGGACAGTTGAGAATTTGAGTGAAAACAAAATGTGCACAATACGAAGACGAAATCCAGGGCTGGTTGCGATAACTGTCTGGCGCCAGACGGATATCCTGGCTGTCTCCCAGCCGACTTATCATGTGTAGCAGTTAATAGCGTCGGCCTAGCATAGATATTACGACAGGTGGCTAGCAATTGCCTAGTGAGAACGAGGCAGGATGTATACCTGGGAAGGATTAGCTAAACGCTGGTAAGAGGGGGGTAGCTTACGGTGGAAGCGATCTGAAAGACTTGAACAATGGCGGTAGAAAAGACGATACTTAGTTTTCTTATGCAGAATACAACCTTGTACTCCATGCGAGCAATCTGTATGAGCGCGACGAGGACGTGTACACAGTCTGGACTGTGAAGCATAGACCGTGAAGCACCGAAATTGTTGCATTAGCCACGTCTCTGCCCCCGTTTGCACCCATGACGCTTCGAGTCCAATTGAATCCGCCCAAGGACGAAACAGTCCTAGGTAAATGTTTGAGAGAGCAGGCCAGCAAGCTTACTTTCTTCACCCTCTGTGAAGAACGTGCTTGGGGTTGAAACGCTGAGGGTGGAAGAGAGAAGTCGCTTTGGTTGGAGATTGGATCGCCGGTGGATGATTGGACTGTAGTGGGAATGAGCACAGTTGAAAGCAGAACGGAAAGGAAAATGCTTACCGTCCCAAGCACCATCTTCTCTAATCCTCACTCATCGGTTTAGCAAGTTCGCACATGTCGTCATTGTCTGAGCACCGGATGTGATTTGAGGTCAGGCTGGGATCTGAATATGGGCTTTGACTCTTGAAGCGCTCTTGTTGTAAAACGAAGTAGGAATTTCAAACGTAGGAGTTGGGCATCAAAGTGTCTCATCAGACGAATCATATCATTTCTGGACAGATCGGACCCCGGCCCATATCAATAGATGAGGGAACGTCAAAAGTGAACGTTTGAACGGCTTATCGATATCCTCGGATTCGTTAGAATGTGATAGCGATGTCGCCGAGCTTCTCGACTGCCTTCTCTTGATGAAGATAAGCAGGTTGCCTCGGACACTAGATGACCATCATGTACTAGATGCAATGTTAATACGATTACAGAGAGATAAGAATGACTGACATACCAAAAAGTTGTAAAGCTAAGAACATCCTCCCAGCTGAACCATGCACGACCCTCAGGACGCCGACTACCCGTAGCATGGTCGTCCTTCTTCCTCCCTTCTCTACGATCACCCTTTCCCTCCCGTCCCTCTTTCCACTTGTAAAAAGCCAAATTCTGTGCCTTGCTTCCTACGAGGCCACCCTCTGCTTAAAATTGAAGCACTGACACATCGTCTATGCGAACCGAGCCCTAGCGTCGTTCAAGCTGAGAGACCGCCGCTGTTGAACATGAAAATTGAGGAATCCCCGCGCCAAGGAATCGAACAAAACCTTGACGGGCGATGAGCTGTTGTTCGCGTACGCATCTTCGGTCGAGCAAAAACAAGCAGACAAGGACCGATGTGATCCATCGAAGCAATTGCGTGCTCGAGTCGATACTTCTCCTCGGATGGTGATGGAAGACGAAAAGAGGAGTTTTGATCCCGCTCCCGACTCCGATCGGTGGGAATTTCGCACCCCGAGCCGTTGCCCTTCGCATTCAACAGGATTATTCGCTTGATTGTCCCTTCCCTCCCATGGCTATCTTTCCGAGAAGGCGACACTATGTGCTGTACTGATAACTTAAATTTCTCACATCCGCAGGCTGGTAATGGAGATACTAAATCGCGTATTGAATTTACTATCGAGCACTAACTTGGCACTAACGTATCCCGACAGTTCAAGCCTTTCAGGCGGATATTACTGAAGAAATGGAGGGAACGAAGTACGAAGAGTGGATGGCTGACTTAAACGCCAAGGAATGTCTTGTAGTGCTCGTGAGGGCTCCTCGCTTTCAATGCGTGAAAGGAAGATAGCGATACACGTGTGAATGAATCGTACTTCTGGATTCCGACAATAAGTATCATATTCTGTACATGCTCTACATTGAAATACAAGTTGTGGTATTGGAGGACCACGGAAAACAACCACTTTCTCGAAGCTTAAATAAATGCTACGGCGGGTAACTTTACAAATCTACATACACCTAAAATAGAAGGAAAATATGGAATAGTAATGAGCAGAGGGTTCGCTTCATCAAACTGGAAGAGTTCATGAGAAGGTGGTTAAGAAGCTCAAGAAGGCTCACTTTCTGGCCTTCGAACCTCAGGTGTAGGCAACCTGCGAATTAATGACCCTCTAGTGGTAAGTTGTTCATTATAGTGTCCACCACTGACAATATCCTCATACCCAGGCGGAAATGTTACAATATTGTTGCCATCATCATCAGCGTCTATCCGACCCGCATCATTTTCTCGCTGAGGCCAGCGTTCACCGGAGGCCATACGTGATGAAGAGGGGTGTGCGTGCCCCAACGGTACATTCGGAATTGAAGGTCCGGCAGCCACTGAAACTCTTCTTGCTCCTTTTGGCATATGAGAGGTGGTCTCCATCACGGTATACGGGGTAGGGATAGGTGTATTTGGGTGAGATATAATGAATGGGGACTGTTGATGGGGACTGATATAGGAACTCGTATTCATGTCGTTATGCTCTGGCTGTGTGCGATGGCGATGTCGCTTAAAAAGCCATATGATTAAGCAAAGGGAGATGACCGCGATGCCTCCTACAACTCCTCCAACGATGGCACCTGTGGGGGAAGGTGAGGTTCTGGTTGATTGAGATACCGGCGCCGGAGTGGTAGATGAGGTCACAGAGATGAAGGAGAAGGAGGATGCTCCAGACGTCAACGTCAAGCTTTCTGTAGCAGTAACATTGTTATCCTCAATCTGGAGTACAAATTTGACCAGCGTTAACTCCGAAAGCCCCCACCACAAAAAACGTCAAAACATAACCATGCAAAGCGAGGCCTTGTAGTGGTTATTATATCTCATAATCTATGAGACCACTTGTACATACCTTACAAACGTACCAAATCTAAGTAGACTTTATATGTGATAATAAGAGACCGCTAGTTATTGCGAATGTGAGCAAGGATTATCCCGATTTCAAGGCTTAATATGATAATGATAAATGGTGTGTGAGGGTCCAGTGTTCACTGATCTCTGGGGAGTACGAAAATTTGCGTGCCTACTACTTGCAATGATGCCGAAGGCCTTGGGGCAGCGACTCCGAAAAATGCGATTGCAGATAATCTATAACAAAGAATAACCTAGACTTTCTACATCATTCCCCCCCCCCTTTGTCATTCTCGTTGTCATCCTCATCACAACTTGCGACGAGCTCATCCTCTGCATCATCCAAATCGCTAGCATCTAGATTGTAGTCAACGTCACAATCATCAGAATCGGTTTCCCAGACATCATCATCGATCTCCAAGCCTAGTTCTTCATCCGTAGTACCCTCGCTGTCAGAATCTCGTGCAGTCGATATGCTATTGCATTCAGATTCAGACTTGTCGGAGACATAATCGAGATCCATATCTGCAAGGTCCAGTGGGTCAAGGAGCTCCTTCGGAAGCTTGAAAGCCTTCCACAAGTCCTCACGGAACACCCGAGTCGCATCCCAGGTAGCTATATGTCCAATACCTAGTCCACAATATCGATAGATCATATCCCGGTCTGCCCACCTGTGATCATGGTCAAATGTAATCAGTAATAAGATTTGGAGGCTCACATGGCTACCGAGTATCGCTCGTAATCTTGATCATTTTCATTCGGCTGTCGTGCAATGGATGGTGCCAAGAAATCGGAAGTAGTCCCAAGCCGGTAGACAGGCAGAAGATGTACTGCTCGGATGACATTGGCAGGACTGATAGAACCGAATGCCTCTGGGTTGCTCCCATCCACAAATCCGACCCAATGCAGACATTTTGCCGTAAAACCAGACTTGTGTTTCCCATCAAAACCATACCAGCGAACCCATAAAAAGTCGATTTGGAAGCGATGCGTGTCCTCCATGGCACCATCAGGGTCATTGTAACATGCGTCGGCATGGAAAATCCCAATAACACAAGCGTACCAATATGGATGAGTGCAATCAGGGTCAGTTTCGTTTGCCAGAACGATAACATCAGAGCATGTTCTAGGATTTATAGAGTCTTGGTTCCGATGAACGTCGTACGTTGTGTAGTTGATGCGCAGTATCTTGTGACGGAATATCCTGTCATTGATGATGTGCAGATGACTTCATTGTTTGGGAGTAGTCTCCTCAGTGTCGGCTATCTTGATTCCGGGAATGCATCGTAAAATATGGTCCTTCAGCTTCGGGATGAAGTCCTGAAGAACAAAATGAGAAATATCATATTTCATGAACGGGGGGAAACCTACAACAATAGCAGGATCACCGCGATTCTCTGCAAGCCAAGTATGAAGGTTGAGGGGATAATGTCTGGATGCCGACATCTGATAACGGTCCTCTGGGTTGCCTTTAGGGAGAGGGTCCTTCTCGTGAGGGCACAGATCTGGTCCTTTGCGCATTGCCTTCTTCCTCGTAGCACGTCGAGTATGGATATGGCGAAGCCGTTTTTGGCGATGTTCAAGTATTGCGATCTGCTTTACATGGTTGCGCTTATTGGTGCGGGCATAGAATAATTTGACACGATGATGCTCTTGTTCTCCCTATCGCGCACATTAGAATACTATTTTCAGTCAGAAGATAACCATATAACTCACAATCTGTGTACTATACGAGTCGGTAGTACCAAACATGATGATAGTCCGCACATAGTCTCCCAATGAGTGTAGCTTATATGTCTGGAGATTGAATGCCTTGGTGGTTTGTCGTGTATCGCTAGGTGGGGGTTTGCTTTGAGCGGCTTTGACTGGATTAGATTGTGCCTTCTTTGCCACTATGATATGTCACCGAACACGGGCTGCCATCTCACCAGGAGTTTCCTTTGTTTTGAACTGCGGGCAGACTGTCATAGCAAACTGTCGAAGCTGGCGACCAAGAGAAGATGTGACAGCATGGAGAAAAGCAAGGCTCAAGTCACTATGTATCCGACTTTTTGCCAGAGCATGCCATGTCGCAAAGTCAAAGATCACGTTGAGCACAGACTTGTCTTCTGCATCAGGTAGAAGCCCCTCAAAACAAGGAAGCAAGCACTAGGCTTATACTATAAGTTATATTATCCAGAAATGTTAGATGAACGTACCTGAAGGACATCTTCATAGTCTCTAGCCGCCATTTTTTTCTGTCCAGAAACGTCATTGCTAAACTTACGAATCGTCGAGCGTCCAAAAGTTGGGAGAGAACGAAATCTAAGAAGAACAGTCAGGTTAATAAATGTAAAGGAATTAATATACGTACCGACGGTTGAGAGTCTGTACAGTTGCAGGACCCAGACTGTAGCAAATTCATATCGAATGGGTAAAAACCGATTTCCAGCTCCCGCTCTCTGATTCATGCATGAGGTCTGGAACGAACATTTGATAAAAATTGAAGCCATGTGGTAGCAAAGCTTCCGAAAATGCGTTCTAAAATCAGGACTTTGAGTTAGGAGTAAATGAAGAGAAGATGACAGTCACCTTATGAGGTGTTAACGACACTGGATGCAGAACCTTTTCAACCTGCGCTCCGCCAACTGGAAAACCCTTGATAAAAATCCATTTCCTAACCATTGCAATATCATAGTGTCTCAGTGTCGAATCCTCCTGACCTTTATTCTCTCGCCGAGCTATATCTCTTTTTGTACCCATTTCTGGTACCTTTTCCTTCGGAATGAGGCATCTGGGACATAAACAGTGTCCAAGGGCTTTTATACTTGCCAAGAGACACCTTGAAAAGGGAACAATCAGACCATCGACCATGTGACCTATGTTCAAGACCTACTTCTCAGGATAATCAGCTGAATAGGTGAAAAACCAGGGGTAGATGCGACGTTTGACTCCATCGGCACATTCAATGACGACGCCATGTACGTAGGCATGCATGAACTCAGCATCAAGAAGCAGGGCCCATATTTTTTGCATCAGCTCGCGTTTGAGGAACGTAATGAGATCACTGGAGGCGGGCTTTCCAAATATACCAATATAAACGTCCTGAATATTATCTGGAAGCTGGATTGAATGTAAGACCTAATGCTGGGGTAGTATGGATAGAGACACACCGATGGAAAATATGCCACATGATGGTTACCAAAGGATGTCGGCATTGCACACGTGTATTTCGACATCAAGCCAAGACCGAGATATGCTGGCCAAAGAGACGCCGTGCCAAAATTAGCGAGGTGTGTGCTGTCAGACTGAAGCATCATGGGAGCGATCACAGTCTCCAATGTGCATCCTGGCTCTGGCATAATCTGCTTCTCCATGTCAAGGAAGACATCTGATGTGTACGCTTCTCCATACACACACTCAGTCAATCCGTCTGGTCTCAGCCACATCTGGCAAAATCCCTTCATGTGAAAATCGAGTGCAGAGGTATCCTGGAAAGCAGCGATGATGACATCCAGCAACGGTCGATGCCAAACCCCAGGAATTTCAAGAGTCGGAGCATCTTCTTCTGATGGAAAACAAAAACCAGTCTGAGGGAGGTTCAGCGTGATAAAATCTTCTTTCCAGCCATCTGATGTAAAGGAAGGCATGTCGACACCCACTGAATCGAGACGCTTCGCCTCACGTCTCGCATCAAATCCCTGCAAATCATTCTGGCTGAAGTCTGGCGCCAATATGACATCTTCAACCAGGCTATTAAGGTCGGCTAATGTCTTCATCGTGCTGGCATAGAACCAGTTCATAAGTCAACAGGTCGTAGCATTGAGGAAGGGGGCAAACCAAGATGTGCTCGGTGAATGGGAGGGAGGTGGGTGCATTAGCGATGGGTCATCAGCTAGCTGTAAACCAAACATGCTAAGTGGTGATCAACCAGTAGAGCTCATCGTAGGAACAGCGAATGTAGGAGCATCGCAGAAATCTGCAAGAGTTTTTGTCTCTTCAGGATCGATGGTGGGTAGGGTTGTATACTGGCGAAATAGACCAAAAGTATTGGGTTTGGTGGTGATGAACGCTGGTGGTTCGGGTTCAGGTGATAGTGAAGGACTGCATTGGGGAGATTTGGCAATGACTGGTTGACGTCGACGAGGAGATGGAGGTCTAATGGCAGCATACTGACTCATTTTGACAGTTTCCGTTCGAGTTGAGGGAAGATAATCTAACAATCGCTTAGGTATCATGTGAGTTCGACGTGATGGTTGCGGCTCAGGCTTGGGTTCAGGCTTGGGTTCAGCAGATAGGTCAGGAATTGATTCTTCTCCCAGGGCATTGGGTGCAGTAATATCAACAAGCTAATTGTAATGTTCATAAAGATTCGAATGAGAATTATGATTACAGTGTACCTCGTAGTCTGCAGCAGTGTCCATCTCCAAAGCACTACCCTTTGCTGCAGCACCTGCCAAATTTCCCTTCTTATCAAACCCCAAAAGACGCTTTGCCCCACCAACTGATTTTATCACCCCTAAGCCAGTCTTCATGAAAAACTTTGATCTTGATGCAACCTTAGGACATTTTGCTTTGTGACCAGCGATGGCTTGGGCATTCCCAGTAAGATTTCGGCCACAGTCGCATCGGTAAACCATTATTATCGCCAGTAGAAGGAGACTGATTAGGACTATAGGAAATTTTTGTCGCATCCTGGAAGAATATCATTAGTTGAGTATTGATTTTTGAACATGTATTTCTGAGATAATTATTACACACCTTGTCAAAGAGTTGAGGCAATGTAGCAGGGGAGAGGCGATTAGAAATCTTTGGCAGTAGCGAACATGAGAGTGAGAAGATGAGAGTGTAACTGTGACTAACCGGACTAACCGGCAGGCTAGTCATGTCACAGGTGTTACTGTCACATCATGTCCCATTCATCATGTGATGTCACAGATGCATTTCTTATGGCCATCAACAAACAACTTTGTGCGATTCCTCTGCCTCTTGACTTCTTACCACTACCATCATGCCCAACCCTGCCAAATCCTCCTCTAAGCTTCGTCGTCGCTCTTCTCCTGCCAAGACCAAGCATGTTCCTGCTGTGAATCCTAGGACTAATCAGCACAAACATCGTCTTCCCTCTTCCAGTGACGAGGAAACTCAGCCTAGTCACCGTCTTGGACCCACAGCTCCAGCTTCTACTCGCAGTATTGAACCTTGCTCAACTCAACAGCCTTCTCGCCGTATTCAACCTCGCTCAGCTCAACAGCCTGCAAACCGTATTAAATCTACAGCTCCAGCTTCTACTCGCCCTATAGCTCCACCTGTCGCTTGCCCTAGAACTCCTCCTCTGACTTCTGACCATGAAATTCTCGACGATAGTGATATGGACGATGCTGATCATATGGACAATGACAATGCTGCCATGGAGGCTTTCAATGAGTCTGGTGACTCCAGTCACTCTGCCGATGAGAACGTTGAAGTGGGTAGGAAGCGTAAGAAGTCAAGTCGCAAAGCTAGTAAGTTACGGAAGAAGAAACTAGCTGACTACGAGACCGACATCGAAAAGTGAGCCAGGTTTTGTTTTTTTATGCATATATTGATCTCATTTTGTCATAGGAAGGCATATATCGAAGATACTTGTTTATCCTTAGGACGATATCTCCCACGCGCTGTTGAGCTATGGGTTGATGTGGATGATATTGTTTGGGCTGGCTTGAAGCAGGCTGAGAGGGCAGAAAAGTGAGTCTCAACACGTCATTATTATTGCGCCCCATGATGCTACATTCCAGGATGAACAAATCTGTTCATGACATGCCAGCAAAAACACGGAATGAAGTCTCCTTCACTGTCCTACTGAAGCTTATGGAATGCAATATAACCTTCCCTGACATTTTCAGTGTTTACAAAACTGAACAGATTGCGGTCAAATCACTCATTGATTTAGTGAGTCCATGGCTGTTGTCCATCTATATCTCTGATATTCCACATCCAGCTGCATGATGGCATCAAGGAAGGCCGCGCAACTGATACTAACAAGGTCTGGACACAGATATTGACTTTGATGCTCAAGGATCCCCGTACCGACACTATCACAAAACCTGCACCGACTTCAAAGTCTTCCTATGGCTTCAATCATATTGATACCGGGCAGCTCTTGTGCCCTCAGGTTTATTTAGAATCATTTGATGAGGAGTACAAGTTCTTGTTGTCACGTCATAACCAATACTGACATGCTGTCCTTCTAGCCTTCTTCTATCACTATCCGACAGTCAAATTGAAGTGAACACTTCTTATTGGCCATCGTTTATGTATGATCAAGCCATGTGGACACCGGAGGATGAAGAAATTGGATTGACACGAGGATACTTGCTCCTTCGAGTATTTCATTCATTTTTCTGGTTTTAAAACATTCTAACATTGTTTCTCAGGTGTTTCTCCATATTTTCTGCAGTAACAGAGATCCAACAAAACAAGAGGACAAGAAGCGATGCAATATCGCAAAGATCAACCGAATGCATCAGGTGACTGGCCATCATATTGTGTATGCAGCATGCCAGGTTTGTTTAGATTAGTGATCAAACTCTTTTCTGATGAGCTGTCTTCCAGACAAGGTATGTGCTCTCATCTAAGACTGCCTGGTGTGAGCAAGATGGCACGTTCAATATGAACACATTTTACGTTGCTATTGTGGATCTCTTTGAGCAGTATCCTGATGACGAATGGGTTACTGCGACGCTTGGCTGGTGGAACGAGTACGTATGATGTGGTCTTCATACAAAACATTTCTAACTCATTTATAGACAGATCTTTGGTGACGCTGAAGGCTGTACAATCACTGAAGCAGAAAAGCAAGAACATGCGTCTGAGAGTTCAGTTGGAAAGATTGCTGCTGCTCATGCTGCTCGTGCTCGTGCTGAGGCTCTTGCTATGGCGGCTGAATCTAGTGCCGACGACTCATAGATGCTCTCGATCCTACTATTATAATAGTAAGCCTGCTGTCACTTCTCTATTGCTAAAGGTTATTTGATACTGACATTTATTCTACCAGTGCCTCGCTCTCATTTCAAGTCGCTTCTAGTTTGCCTGTGCTCACAATACCAACTGCTCGAGTCTGGTCTTTCTTCTTTATCTGCTTTTATCGTTGGTCATAATACTGTGAATTTTCAACTAGATGAACCATGCCCGGTGTAATGTACTTCTGTATCCAAGTCTTTTCGTGTAATATGCATTTGTACCACAAGACAACGTGAAATATACTTATAATTGCTCTGTTTTTTACGAGTGACAGAAATGAAGCTATACTACAAGGCCTTCACCTGCACCTGCAATCGTCGTAAAGCCTTTATGAGTACCATAATGATAGTCTAAGGCTAGTGAGGATTGTATTGATTTGCTGACCTTGTATGCCCGTAATACATGCCTTACATGACCCTTCCGATTGCAGGGGACATACATCAGAAACCTTAATAAACTATACAATTGTTGTGATGGTATAGGATAAGTTATGCGGCTTATAAGGTGGTTATACTGGATTTTAGTACTCGTATCCTCTGGTAAGAACTGGTCATTTTCTGTGGTGCCCATGTGTCGTCCTGGTTGGTTAAGATTATCTGATGTATTCCTAGCTGATCAAAGGATTTGGTGTACAGGATGATCTGCATGTGTGGTGAGAATGATAATGCAAATGGATGGTCCAGATAGATGCTCACACTCACCGGAGGATTTTTACCATCGTCAGTGCTGTTGACAGCGTTGATCTTCTCGAATTTGGAACTTTCGGGATCACAGTCGATACATATTGCATACAATGCCCCACAGCAGCGAGGTATGCCATAATAGTAGAAAGCATTAGCTGGTGCTGAAAAAAAAGAGTAAATGTCATTTCACAAGAGGTATGTCACAGGGTCTGCACCAGGAAAAGTGAAGGTTACATTGGCTGTCAGGTCCTGTGTCCAAGCCATTACCCCAACCTCATTAATGCTAGAAGCATCATATGCAGTGAGTTCCCATGACCCTTCCCATTTGAAAACATCCAGGTTTTCGAGGCTATAAGAGTAGTTACTATAGCTAACCATGGTGAAGTTGTATTGTGAAGCTGCAATGTTAGCCACTAACTCTTATTGACTTAGATCAACCAAGGATCGCCACTCGCACTTCGGTGGACGATACTCTCAGAGGTCAAAGGCGACAGTGGTGAGTCAGGGACGAACTAGATAGTTCGCGAAGTCGTGAGCTTTGAGTTAGGTAGATTAAACCTTAGCCGAAGCTGGGGTTTAACCCAGCGGAGGCTCTACTTAAATACACGTTTAGTATGCTAAAAATAGTACTGTGAGAAGGTCCGATAGGAATCGTATCATAGAGTAAGCGTGAACACGTAATAAAAGAAAAAGAAAAGAATAAACCGTAACATTACCCCCTCCTTAAGACTCATTCGTCCCGAATGAGCTGGAGGCGTTGTCTGTTTTTGCCGAGTCCGTAAAGTAGGCGAAGGAGTCGTCATCGTCCTCTTCATTTTCACTGTCCCAATCCCAGTCTTCATGTATACGTTGCAGATTTTCCAAGTTAATCTCCGCTTCCTCATTGTCAATATTGGTTTCGATTTTAGGCATACCGTCGGCTTCGTCCATTGTTACTGACCCAGCCGGGGAGGAGGCCCGTTGGCTTTCCGAATGTCTCGGGTTGGTACATTCGTCAGAGTATACTGTCTGAATGTCCGTTACGCATGGAGTATCCGGTTGGTGATATGGTGTTACGGCGTTAGGTGGTATTTTGTCATCCAACCTGACCGTCTTTCCGTGCTTATCGATTTCCCATCGGATGCGTTGGATATGGGCTTTGTACTCATTAACCAGTTCCTCCGCATTGGCCATATCTGAACGTTTGACCCAGGAGTTTTCCTCTCTTGGGTATCCCCTCCATTTTACGAGATATTCTGTTATGGTGCGACGGGTTCGTCCACGACCTATGACTTTGTCTCGCTGCTCCATGATTTCTTCAATCTCGTATTCCTCTTCATCGTCAATTAGCTCTGGAGGTGGCCGTTCGGGGTGCGGTTGACTTGGAAAGGCAGGAGCCACGTAAGGCGTCAGGAGTGATTCATTAAAGCGATTGTGAATCCTCCATTTGACAGGTAATTTTAGTTCGTAAGCCGAGGCCCCCTTTTTGGTGATGATAGTGAAGGGACCAACGCGACGGTCCCCAAGCTTCTTGGTGGGACGAGGGAGATTTAGGTTGGTTGTGTCTAACCACACCTTGTCCCCCAGCTGATATTCCGCCGCTTGGCCCTTGTGCTTGTCGTAAGCCCTTTTCATTGACTCCGCCGCCTTTTCTAAGGATGCCTTCGTCTCCTTTTGCGCTTTCTCGATTTCCGTCACCAATTTTGCCGCTGCCGGGACTACCATCGGTTTTTGTGCTGCGGTGATAACCTGCCCATCCCTTCCAAATACCACCTTGTATGGGGAATACCCAGTGGACAAGTGCTGGCGATTATTGTGGGTGAAGGCTGCCAAGGGCAACCATTCACTCCAATCGTTCTGTCGATCGTTGACGAACATTTTCAGGTACTTTTCGATCTCCTGATTGACTCTTTCTGTCTGTCCGTCTGTCTGTGGGTGGTACGCGGTGGAGGGATTTCCTTCGACGTGAATGAGGGTATAAAACTCCTTCATGAACTTGGAGACGAAGACTGAACCACGGTCCGAGATGACCTTTTCCGGCATTACTCCGTAGGGCACATAGACGTAGTCCCTTAAGATCTTGGTGAAGCCGAGAGAAGTGAGCTCTTCAGTACACGCGATGGGGATAATGGTCTTAGAGAAACGATCGACGATAATCAGGATAGAGTCGAAACCTTTTGAGTCTGGTAGCTTGGTGATCATATCTACCGAAATGTGGGTCCAAGGGCAAATTGGGACCTCGTTGGGGTGTAAGGGAGCCTTCTTGGGATGGTGATCCGCCTTGGTCCGTTGGCAGATGTCGCACCCCTTTACGTATGCTTCTACCTCTCGACGCATCCTCGGCCACCAGTAGTCACAAAGCACCAATTCCTTGGTTTTTTTGATACCAGGGTGGCCAGCGGTCACGTGGTCATGTTTGAGGGCTATGATCTGTCCTCGAAGGTCGCGGTCTACAGGTACATAGATCCTCCCGTCATACCATAACAGGTCCTGACTGCGAGAAACGCCCCTCTCGTGGTTTAGGGAGTCGGAGATCCCTCTGTCCCAGCGATGAGGGTCGTGCGTCGCCACTTTGATTCGTTCATGTAGCTCCTCGGCGGTGGGCATGATTAGGGCCCTGAAGTGCTCCGCCTTGAGTACTACAACGTCTCGATTGTCTTCTCTGCCTTGATCGTGGTCCGCCCTCCTTGACAAGAGGTCCGCCTTACGATTCTGGGCTCCAGGCTTGTGATGCAAGGTGAAGTGGTATTCCACCAGTTCCGTCACCCACCGCGCTTGTCGTCGGTTGAGCTTCTGGGGCTTGCGGAAGTACTGGAGATTGGAATGGTCCGTCCAAATCTCAAAATCTTCTTTTGCTCCCATGAGGTACTGGCGCCATTCTTCGAGAGCGATCATGATTGCCAGGAGCTCTTTGTCGTAAATCTCGTAGTTGCGTTCGGTAATGGAGAGCGCCTTGGAGAGAAAGGCTACCGGTCGCCACTTCTCGTCTTGCCACTGGGAAAGTACTGCCCCGATCGCTCCTTCGCTAGAGTCCGCCTCCACTCGAAACCGTCCTTCGTCTAATGGGATGGCGAGTACCACGTCCTCGCGGAATAATTCCTTGAGTTTATCGAACGCCTTTTGCTGAGCCTCTCCCCACCTCCACTCCTGTTTCCCGGTGAGTGCAGTGAGCGGTTTGACGTGTTTACTGTAGTCTCGGATGAACCGTCGATAAAAGTTGCAGAACCCGAGGAAGGACTGCAACTCTTGTTTCCTTCGGGGAACCGGCCAGTCTAATAGACCCGCAATCTTGACGGGGTCCATACGAATCTTTCCTTCACTGATGATAACCCCCAAGTATTCGGTCTCCTCCACCTCGAACTCGCATTTCTCCGCCTTGAGGAATAGGTGGTTCTCGTGTAAGATTTGGAGTACCTTCCGCACAATTCGTTTGTGCTCAGCCTTGGTTTTAGAGGCGATCAGTATGTCGTCCAAATATACTGACACTTCTCCCGCCGTGATAAGATCCTTGAAGATATCGTTCATCATCCACTGGAAGGTAGCGGGAGAATTGGTGAGTCCGAAAAACATAACCAGGGGTTCGTAGAGCCCCCGGTTAGTTCGAAAGGCGGCCTTCCACTCGTCCCCCTGTTTAATCCTCACGTTGTTGTAGCCCCACCGCACGTCTAGCTTGGTGAAGTACTTCGCCTGTTTTAGTCGATCCATGAGTTCTCCGATAAGCGGTAACGGATAACGATTCTTGACAGTCATCTCGTTCAGCTTTCGATAATCCTGGACCGGGCGGAGTTTTCCATCCTTCTTTTTGACGAAGAAGAAGGGAGAGGCCATGGGGGACTTAGACGCCTGGATACGCCCCGTGGATAAGTTCTCGTCGAGGAACTTATCAAGCTCCTCCTGCTCTATCGGATTGAGGGGATAGACCTTACAGTCTAGATTGGCGTTCACGTTAGGGATGAGCTCGATGGCATGATCCCAAGGTTTACGAGGTGGTAACTCGTCGAAATTTTCTTTATCGAAGATGTCCTTGAATTCCCGGTATTCCTCCAGCACGATTTCTTCAAAGGACTTGACCTCTTTCTTTGCGTTGGCTTGAGCGGCTAGCTCGTTGGCTCGGGTTCCCATGGCCCGAACATGGAAGGCTTCTTCAAAATCTATGACCAGAATGGTATCCCCTTCCTCATACTCTTCCCATTGTGCCGTGGGGTCGGTGTTGGGTAAGTGGAACGGGATCTTTCGACACGCACATCGGGCTAAGGTGACGGCCCCGGTATTCCAATCTATTAGGGGATTATGATGTTGAAGCCAGTCGTGTCCCAAAAATAGAGGAGTCGAGCCTAGGTCCACTATGGCTAGTTCGATCCGCTCCACGTGATCCCCAATATGTAGCCTCACCTCGGCGTACTCCGTGATGTCTCCTCCCTTGTTTCGGGTGCTGTCGGCATTGTAGACAGGCACGGGTCGAGCAGCCTTCTTGAGATTGAGGTCGTGCTCTTGGGCCCAGGCGCGATCGATTGAACTGCCGGTTGCCCCGCTGTCCACTAAAGCGCTTACTGCGTGGGTTTCTCGCGTGTCCAGGGTCTCTAACTGAACTTTTATTGAGACGTTGCGCCCCTTCCTCCCTCGTATGTACATCGGGGGCTTTTGTAAGTCCTCCATCCACTGCCACTTCTCCCTGGCCTGAATGGCAGTCTCCGTCTGCTCTTCCAGTTGACGACATAGCTGGTCGGTAACTTCTCCCCTTCATCGGGGGTGTACCCATCCGTTAAGTATGGCTTGCGCGGCTGCTTCTCCTCGTGCAATACGCAGGGCCCGGTGGGTCCAAAGGATTCCATGGGGTTCGTAGTACATTTCTGCGACAATCTTCCGATCGTTGGGGGTCGCAGTGATGGACGGGGCTCATGAGGGTGTCTTCCTGGGCGTGACGACCGGTATGTCGGATCGTAAGTGGGCTTCTTCGTCTTCTACTTCTTCTAACGACATGGGGTAAGTCTTGCTTCGAGGCGGCATTTGGTCACCGGGCCAAAGAGGGCCCCTCAGCGGCACTTGGTCGCCTTCCGTCGAAGTGGTGGAGGAGGGCTCGCTGCCCTGTGTTCGGCCCTGGCCAAGGGCGCTTGTGCGTGGCGTTGTAACCTCCACTCGTATTCCATACTTATCCTCCTTCCTGACTGGGGCGGTACTCGTGGAAACTCCTGGCAGACGCACACATATTGGCTCCCTCGGGGGGTCTTCACCTTTTTCCAACGAGATGGATACTGAGAGAAGGGGGTCCCTCGAGTTCCTGGCCTCAGCTGCATTTCTGGCACTGGTAGTAAGATCGTTCGTTGTTCCTGCTACCGGAGTCGTCGGCCGTTTCTCCCTGCCCGGGCGACCTGGGTCACGTCTGACTTCGGCCTTAACTC